CTCTTCCTCATGAACTGTATTTTGTTACTTTGGGCCTAAGCCCCTCCTTTGTCTTGCTTATTATTATTTTGTTAATTATTAGGACAGATGGAAAAATTGGGCCTAAGGCCCAAAGAACAATATTTTTTGTTATGTTAGACTAAGACAGGTGTAGGTGATTCGAATGGACCTTCGACCCAAAACAAGATTAGGCCCAAGTACTGGCCCAGGCGAACAGTAAACCAGACTTGGGCCCAAATTTCCTTCTTTACTGATTATTTTATATATGTTTATCTGTCGATATTTGTTGTTAGTCTTAAGGTTACTACGGTTTAATTCCCCGAAAGATAGTCATTCTAAACTAATCTTCTAAAAATTAACTAATTAAATACTCGCTCCCTATAATATTGAAACATAATCTATCAAAATGTTTAACTTAGATAATATCGCAATACTTCTCCTTATCCCTTTTTAAAATGGTCTTAACTAAAAAAGTTCAATTTTACAATTCAAGTTAAGTTAAATTATTTTAGTCAAATAATTAATTACCGGATAACCGCGTATTAGCGGGCATTTCGGGTGCTTTCAAACCCTTTCCGAAATGCTAATAAGAACCCGAACCCCTTTTAAGTTTTTATTAGGTTCTCTGTAAAGTCTTTTGAAAACAATAGTTTTCTTAATTTTACTTTAAAATTAAGTTGCGACTCTTAAAACCAATAAAAAAATATTTTCCTAATAAAACAATTATCATCAAAATATCAAATATAACATTAAAATGATTGTTTACCCTAAAATTGGTATTGTTGAATTTATAGGTGGTCAAGTGTTGGGTAGGGGTGTTCACGGTTTGGATAAAAACCGATCCAAACCGAAAAACCAAACCAAACCGGTAAAATAAAACCAATTTTATTTGGGTTTGGTTTGGTTTGGTTTTGGATTTTTGAAAACCGATAGTATTTGGTTTGGTTATGGTTTTATTTGAAAAAACCCGAAGAAATAACCGAACCGAACCGATGAATTATATACATATATTTTATTAATATACATACTTAATATATTATTTTTATAAACAATTTTAAAGATCGTATACATATTTTCATTAAAATTTCTTTATAATTTACTTATTGAAAGCAAAAATGCCCAAAATGAAACATTTATCTTATTTATTTCATGTATATGAGTGTCTATGTCAATTCTTTGTGGAACTGAAAATGTTATTGTCTCTTCCTTCTAGGCCAATATAGTGAATTTTAAAGCTTTATTGATAGTAAATTTAGTGATTGAAAGTTTAGTAATTTAAGTCATTCTAACTATTTTTCGTTTTGAATGGATTGTTGTCACTTTTTTCACATTTTAAATGAATTATTTCTTTTATTTTTGTGTATGGTTAATAACCGAATAACCGAACCAAACCAAACCGAAACCGATAATCACTAAACTGATAAATGTATATTATATTTGGTTTGGTTTGGTTTTGATAATTTTAAAACCGATTAAGTTGGTTTGGTTTTGGTTTTGACCAATAACCGATCCAAACCAACCTGTGAACACCCCTAGTGTTGGGTTTGAAAGAATCAGAGTATTACGTGGAAGCTTACTATTGAGAATTCTAGTGTAACATAAACAATAGAGCAGTACAAATTAGCTATAGAGCAGTACAAGTTAGCTATAGAGCAGTACAAGTTAGTTGGTTAGTGATATGTAAAGTTAGTTAGATAATGAGTTGTAAAGTTAGTTAGCCAGCTGGCAGCATAGTTAGTTAGATGAATAGTGTATATATATACTTGTAAGTAACTTAAGCAAATTAACTTCAATACAATTTCAATACAGATAAAAATTCCCAAATCAATACTCTCTGTTCTTCTTCCTTTCTTGAGTTCTTGTATTCTCTAATTTCCAGATTCAGATTTGTTCACTTACCATTGCAAATCATATAACGATAAATTAGACGACACATAAAACTATACTAAAAGAAACATATATTATTATATGATACGCAATTGGCCTGCATATTTAAAAAAGGGAAAACTATACAAATACGACCAATAATTAATGGAACTATTTACCCAAATTAAACCCTACCCAAGCTATTTACCCTTAATGGACCCCTTACCCAATCTATTTACACGCATACCCCCTTCCCCATTAAAGTACAATTAGGGGATTTTGAACTCAAAGTACTGTCGAACCCATAAAATCGTTATACAACTCTCCTCTTTGAATCTATTAATCTCCATTACCGGTATATGCTTTCTTCTTTCATTCTTTGTTGTTTTAAGCTAAAGATTACTAATATCGAAGCTTTTTTTGGACATTAAGCTAATATCAAATTTGACTCAATTAGTTGTCTTTCTCCTATCCCTTTGGAGAAAATTAAATGGTACGTTTATTTTGACATTCAGCTAATTATAAAAAAATAGTTCAATTAGTTGCCTTTCTCCTATCCTCATTACTTTGCTTTTTATCTTCTTCTTTTTTTGTATTTCTCTCTCTCTTTCACGTTACCTAGATATCCCAAAAGAGGGTAAAGTTTAGATCTGAAACCTGAGAAAATGGATTTCAAAAATCAAAATCGAAAGTTTTCCATGATGTTTGAGGTTATTTGAGGCAATTGTTCTATAAATCTCACTAGAATGCATAAATGAGTATTTAAATATTGTATATGAATGTATTGATATTGTATAACACTTTATATAAATATATATTCATCTCTCGTACATAATTATACGTTATATATACATGATTGTATATTATTTATACAATATAGATATTTTGTTTATATATGGCTATTTAGCTGAATTTGGTTTTTTTTTTGTTGCGGCATATTTGTGTAAGATGCTTTTTTTAAAAGGACAAATTTTCATTTGCACAAAAAATTGCTCAAAATTAGCAATACATGCAAATAAAAGTTATTTTCAATAAAATGGTCATATGTATAGATAATGTATCGATATGTATATATAAAGTATGGATATGTATAGATGATTAGCTATATGCCTATATATAAAAGATGTGTATATATATATATACATTATTGATACAGTAAAATATATATTACAGATCAATTTTTTCAATCTCAGCCAACTCAAATCTCCTTTAAATAGTCTTAAAATTTAGATATAAGATCCTCTCAACATTTCAATTCTTTTAATATATTATTCACTCAAAACGATTCATGTTTGTGGCAAATTTAGCTCGCGATTTGTTTGTTAATTATGCACGATGTGAGAATTTTTAAATCATGAATCGACAAACTTTTATAAAGGTGATTTTCATGATAATCATTACACGTACATTTCATTAAAAAGACAAATATTGCTTCAAGAAGTTAGTTATCATCAAATAAGCAAAAACTATTATTATTATTATTTTTTATGCTTCCCCACTAGAGGTGAGTTCCATGGAACAACTCATTTGCGAACTCTTACTTATCGTCATCGAAATGATCTAAGAAATCTTTTATAGGGTATGAAAAAATACAAATTTGAAAGAGTTAGAATCACGTAAATGAGAAAAAGGGGACGGAGACCAAGCTAAATTTGTAGAGCAAGAAAGTGTTCATATCGTTTAATACTTTATCGAAGTGATTCCTCTTTTCATCTGTTATAAGAAAGAAACTATGATAATTGCTAGTACTCTTTTGCTGATTATTATGGGCTTCTTCTAACCATAAGCTCCATTTGAAAAGAAGAGAAAAAAATTAAAGTACCTACCTAGAAATAAAATGGAAAGATTCACCCCAACCATACTCACAAACAAACAACATATATTGTGAATTAATTACTTAATTTTGAAATGATTAAAGTCTTATATAAAATCCAAATAAAGATAGTCATGCCTTAACTATGAAAAGAATATCAAAATCCTACCGACATTGGGCGAAGCTAGATCACACGATGAACTAATAATTGGGGTGAATTTGGTTAGTACAATGTTTGAATGAATAGTAAACTAATAATTTGGTTAATTTTTGTTAGTCGAATGAACTAATGGTCATTATTCCTTTTAATTTTTCATTTTAAAAAATAAAATAAAAACTCTTTTTTTTGGGGGTGGGGGGAAGGGGGAGGGGGGGATTCCACCTGGTGTCCGACTCCGATTAAATCCAAATCGTGCAATGCACGGTCCATTTGGGAGTGACGCTCCAAATAAGATTTTTTCTATACCCAGAGTTCGAATTCGAGACATCTGATTAAGGGTAAAACAGTTTCATCATTGCAGCACAATCGATGTTAGTAGGGGTGTTCATGGGTTGGATAAAGACCAATTTAAATCGTAAAATTGAACAAACCATTTTTATTTGAGATTGGTTTGGTTTTAGATTGTTAAAAACCTCTATTATTTTGTTTGGGGTTGATTTTATTCGAAAAAATAACCGAACCGAACTGATAAATTATATACATATATTTTATTATTATACATAGATAATATAATATTTTTACAAACAATTTTAAGGATCTTACATACGTTTTCATCAAAATTTATTTTAATCTATTTATAAAAGCAAAAATGTCCAAGACAAAAATATTTATCTTATTGGTTTCATGTAGATATGTGTCTATGACAATTCTTTGTGGGACTAGAAATATCAATGTCTCTTCCTTCTAGGCCAAAATGGTGAATTTTGAAGTTTTTTTCACAGTAAATTTAGAGATTGAAAGTTTTAAAATGTCAGTTGCTAACTATTTTTTCATTTTGAATGAATTGTTATCACTTTTTTCCATTACTTTTATTTTTGAGTATAGTTAATAACCAAATAACCGAACCAAACCGAACTGAAACCGATAATAACCAAATTGATAAATGTATATTATGTTTGATTTAGTTTGATTTTGATAATTTAAAAACCGATTAAGTTAATTTGATTTTAATTTTAATCAATAACTGATCCAAAACCGATCCGTGAACACCCCTACACGTTGGTTAGGGAATCAAAAAGTACTTAGATCCATCAACAGGATTGCCAAGCCCATATTCATCTTTAATGGGCCGGATTAGAAATCAAACAAATGTATTCCGAACTTCTTTCTTCCCAAACCCTCCGCTTGTTTCTCTTTTCTCTCTCTCTCTGTTTCTACTACAAACTCCTTCAACTGACTAAGAAGAAGAGGAAACAAAGGAAAGAAGAAGAAAATCTATGGCGGATGTTGTACAGTTCAAGCTGGAGCGTATGCTCCCTGAGCTCGACGACCTTGAAAAACGTGGTCTATTTAGCCGCCAGGAAATAGCGGAAATAGTGAAACAGCGCCGGAAATTTGAGTACAGGCTGAAGAGACCTAGTCCATTGAAGCAGGATTTTGTAGCATACATTGACTATGAGAAAAGTCTCGATTCTCTACGACTTCTACGTAAAAAAGCTCAGATGAAAACAACCGGCGATAGAAAGTTGAAAAAGTCTGTTTCAGATTATGCTGGAGTTTCCAGGATTATTGAGATTTATCGGCTCGCCACCACTAGGTTTAAGGGAGATATAGAGCTTTGGTTTCAGTATTTGGAGTTCTGTAGGGAGCGAAGGAATGGTCGAATGAAGAAGGTACGTTTACCTTTGCAGAAACTTGTTTAATTGGAAGCTCAATTTTCGTGTTTTATACTTAAACGTAGGTATTATTTTATAATCCAGTCATTTAGAGAGTTCCTAAATTGTCTAAAAATGTGTGTAATTCTTTACTAATGGAATGATATAACAAAGTTATTTGGCATTGAGGCATAGTTGATTATTGATGAGATTAATATATTATTAGAGAGCAAACTAGTTCTAAAACATTGGGAATAAAAAAACTTAAGATAAGATAATTAGTATAATGGAAGGGCAGTTAATTTTTCTCTTATTATGTTAAAATGTCTTTTATTTGACAAAGTTCCATTTTTTAAGCATTGAGGGTTGTCCTTAGAGTATTAGTTTTGCCCCTTCTGCAAACCAGTGAATTTGATGAACTTATTTTCTACATAAAAATCCAAAGCTGCAGGCTTTAAATGTGTATTTTGAATATAATTGTAAATCAAGGCAGTCAACACACTAAACCTTGATTACTAAGTTGGTTTACTAAGTCTGTTCTGTGGTCAAGTTTCTAGTTTTCAACTCTTTAACTTCTCTTAGGATTTAACAAACAGTATATATTTCTTAATCCTTGGTTCTCTTACCTGTATTTATGCACTTGCATATGATCATTTGCAACATGGTAAAATGGCAAAATCTATCTGGTGTTGATTTCCCTCCTATATTTATGAAAATCATTAAATGTTGAGAAACTGTGCTCTCGGGTGTCTTATGCTGTTCTTATGCCTTTTGTTCTTCAATAGGCCCTTGCACAGGTAATCAGGTTTCACCCTAAGGTGCCTGGAGTATGGATATATGCTGCAGCTTGGGAATTCGATAGCAACTTAAATGCTGCTGCTGCTCGTGCCCTAATGCATAGCGGCTTGAGAGCATGTCCAACTTCTGAGGATTTGTGGGTAGAATATCTCCGAATGGAGCTTACATACCTGAATAAATTAAAGGCCCGCAAAGTTGTGCTAGGAGAGGATGAGGGAACACTAGCTCGTTCTGGCAAAAGTGCTAAAGAGGAACAGTGGAGAGATGAGAACAAGGAATTATTTATTGTCCTTGATGATAAAAGAGAGGAAGACAAATTATCCAACCTTCACGACGGAGACTCGAAGGAGAAATTAGATTTATTTAGGGAACAAGGTTTAAGTGTTCTTCAGACAGTTTACGGTGGTTCTATTAAAGCCCTCCCTTCCAGTTTCAGTTTAAGAACAAAGTTTCTTGACATACTAGAAGCAACAGATTTAGGTCATTCAGAAGATATGCGAAATGAAATACTTGCTGATATGAAACGGGACTTCTCAAAAGAACCAAAATATTGGGATTGGCTTGCAAGACAGGAAGTGATTGATCTTAATAATCCAGAGACTACTGAAGCAATGACAGCTGATCAGTTAAGCAGAGCAATTCAGGTAATACTAAACCTTTGTTGATCCACCTGTTCGATTTTGATGTTATAATCTAATTCCTGTATTGCCTGTAATGTGATAATTTCTGGATCTTTCATGTCTAAGATCACGTGAAAAGGACATATGTTTGCCAGAAACTTAGGAAAGCTATTTATAAATGAAGGTTCTTAATTCCTTAATAATCCTCAATCATTGTTTACTCCAATTTTCCAGTCTAAGGAAAAAGTGGCATGAATTCTGGAATTACCCCTTCTGAGAGTCTGTCTTCTAGTTTGGTTGGAAGATTGTTCCTTCATGTGCAGCAGAGCGGCTATTTGAACTTTACTGTTTGGACAATGTTATACTTCTCCAATGCCTAAATCAGATGACATATACCAAAAGTCTTTGGTTGCACATGAAACATTACGAGGCTTGTGCTTTACTGTTTGAGATCTTCCTTTCCTTTAGTTTTATGATTTGATTCACTCTTTCAGTGCACTGGTAGTAAATCACTGTTTTACAGAATATCCTGTATAACTTTCTTCGTTCATTAGCAGGTGCAGGCAACTGTATGTTCTTGAGTGACAAATTCTGATACTCTTTTTGTGGGTTCGAGTGGGGGTGGGGGGGTTGGAGATTTCATTATCTGCAGTTCTCTTTTTATGGTGTATATCTGTACCCTGCTGACAAGACTACCCACATTGATTCTGTAGGTTTATGAGGAGGGTTTAAAAATTGTGCCTTCAGCTTCAATGTTTGATTGTTATGCAAAGTTCCTGATGGATGTCATCCGTTTTAAAAATAAGGGAAGTCAATCTTCTGAGCTCTTCAGTACAGCTAGTCATGTTATGGATCCTATTTCACATCTCCTGGTAGTATATGAAAAGGCTGAAACCATGGGGTGCATCACAGAAGATCTTGCTTGCCAGCATGTTTCTTTTCTACTGCAACTTGGGAAAGTAGATGAAGCTAAGACTTTGGCGGAGAAATTGTGTTCTGGAAAATTTTCAGAAGCAGTGCAGCTATGGGCTTTACGGTTCTCAATAGAAATGAGATTTATCCAGAAGAACTGTACTCCAAATAAGGCAGCTCTGTCTTCTATCTTTGAACCCCTGAGAAGTGTTTTGTTGAAACTTCCCATATTAGAAGCAGAAACTATATGGCTTATGGTAGGCCAAAGCTTAAACCTTTCCCTGTTTAGAGTCTTTTTCATGCATTATAAGATGGTGATAGAAACTGTATTGCTCCTTCTGACTTAGCTGTGACATATGAGATCTTGTTTTCCAGTTGCATATATCAATATTTCTTCTGCTATTACATTTTTGGCGTACTTCTATAGATGAAGCTGAATCCTTACTAGATATTATAGAGTACTTGTAAGCTGACCAAGGATACATCTTGTGCTTCTTTTTGAACATGTAAATTCACTATCTTTGTACTGATGATTAATATAGTGTTTCTTTAAAAGAACACTTCTGCTATTTGAATAGATTCCTTTTGCGAGCATTGAGGCTTGATACAATACTACATATAAGATGCAAGTCAGGGCAGTGCTTATATTTCAGCAGATTCCATTCAGTGCGCATTATGTTGAGTATGTTAGAGATGTATCAGTGGTTGAGACATGCACATGGCTACACCATTTCACTGTCATTTGTGTTATGCTTTTAATTTGCTATTTGCTTTTTGCTTTTTGCTTTTTTAGAATAGGGAAGCATCTGTTGAGTGCTTCATGTGATTACATATGTAATGCAAGTCTGAGGAGTGCTTATTTGTTGGCAGATCCCATTGAGTTCAGTGCATGTTACATTGTTGAGCATGTTAGCATGTTAGAGATGTACAAGTAAATGATGGATGCATGAGGCATCACAGTTTCACTATTGGTTGTGTATGCTTTTGGGGATAGAGTTGCATTCATAAGAAGTGCGGGATTTGTCCTTGTCTATGTGAAACTAAACTAATATTACCCAACAGAAACATTATTTTCTCAGTAGTTGTTAGGATGGAAGGTCTCTGAGCCAAAATAAAATAAAAATAGGACCTCTTGAGCCAGTTCCATGGTATTTTGATCAAGCACAAGAATTTTCTTTGTTTATCATTTTAATTTTTCTTTCAAGCAATATTGTTACATGCCATTCTGTCTGATCTCTTTCTATGCTTTAGTTTTACTAGTGTCGAATGAATGGAATGTTTATAAGCTTGAACTTCATAGATCCATTTACTCCAAAAAAATTCTTAAGATCCATTTACATTACATATTATGCAGGCGCTCAAATATTTTTCCACTCATAAGAAATTCTTTGACAAGTTGGTTGAGACTTCTATATCTTTACTGGCCAAAGATGGTGGAAGTGATGATGGTTTTTCCCTCTCTACTACCATCGTCAATTTTGTTCTGCAAAGGGATGGACTTGGGAGTGCTAGAGAGTTGTATAAGAGGTATGCTACTGCTGATTGATTATAGTCATGTATATATAGTGCAAACATCTATGTTTGATAAACTGTTCTGTTATAGTGAATGTGCTCCTGTACGTTAACCTGAAGAAAGATTTGTTTAAGAGCATGGTAAGAATGTGCTGACATCTATCTTTAGCCCACTTTTTTTAGGTTAAGGGAATACAGTCTATAAAATGAACCCTCTTCCAACTGGATCATTTTATGAACAAATCATAGTCCTTCATTATTGCATTAGCTAATCAGTCGTTTTCTGAAGTTAGTTTAGGTAATTAGGTACCATGTTTGTTCACTTGCTTACTAGTATCAAAAAGATTAACCTGGTGCAACTCTTACTTGATATTGGGTCCTTTAAAATTCAAGGACTTCCAGGTGTTGAGAGATATAAGGGTTTTCTCCAGTCTTTAGACTTTGTTATCCAGTATTATTTAATCAAAACTTCTTCAGATGTGTGAGATCAAATTTAGGGGTGCTGAGATGATAGATGATGTTTCATTTGTTCTTTAAAGAGCAATAGATACATGTTGACTGACATTGACTGCCTTGTGCAGATTTCTTGCTTTACCGCATCCAGGACTTTCTTTATACAGGAATTGCATTGAGCTGGAATTGAACCTTGCGTCTAGTGGAGATAAGATTAGTCTTGGAAATGTCCGAAAACTATTTGAAACTGCACTTACAACTTATGATCAAGATGTCAGATTGTGGCAAGACTATTATAATATGGAAATCAAGGTACACGATATTTCCTTCTCCTCCTCCTTTGGGGAACACATTATTTTTCTCACTAAAACAAATAGCAGAAAATGTTCAGAGATATGCTGGGAATTAGAGGAAAAAGGTGTGCGCTGTTTCAACTCCAATTGTAAACCTAAAATGAACAAGTGCCTTCTCTCTTACAATTTAAGCTTTTAAATGATCACACATCTTGGCGTGGTTATAAGTCATGAGTTCTTAAGTCTTATTGTCAGCGCAACAGCAGTTATTTTCGATTGGTTCATGGTAAAGAATCATGCCGATGAGCATAAAATTAAAAAAAATACTGATGTCCTCTCTCTAATATTTTATATTTTAGATATATTTGGAATTTGTATTTGGTTGCAAATTTGTTTCCTTATATATATATATATATATATATATATATATATATGATGAGGCAATATATTTGTTGTTATATGATCTACTAATAGTGACATATTCAAGAATTATCCTCCTTTGCCTTTGGAGTCGAGTAGCATTTGTAGTATTTTAAGGCATTGTTTAATTGACTCTCATTAGTTTAAGTAATGATGTGTGTTGTGCCACTAATTATTTACCTATGCTTTTGTAAAAGATTATGATCCAGCGATTGTTGAAGGTAGTGGGGAGGTTTCTTAAATGGGCGTGGGGGGTGGAAGTATTTGCTGCTGCTATTTATTATGTTCCAACTTTGTGGAGATTTTTGTTAGTCATGGTCATGGACTATGGATAAATGAGTAATCATCTAGTGCTGATTTTTTTTTTTTAAAACTACTGTTCAGATGGGAACATCAGAAACTGCAGCAGCTGTTCACTGGCGAGCACGGAAAACCCTCAAGAAGAGTATTTCCCTTGTACCCTCACTGGATATGTGATCAATCTCATGTGTGAATACCGTCAAAATTTGACTTGGGAATACTTTGAGCAAGTAATATTAACCAAAGCTCTCTGTGGAGGTCTGGCTAATGTGATTTCTTATGTGGTGCACCATCTCATATATCATTGAGCTGCCAATCTTAATCTACATCACAATTTGCAGTATTGGTTCTCTTTTGAGGACATCTTATGTGATCTGAGTCACTGTTAAAGGAGCCTTGCTATATTCTTAGGCAGGACTTTGGCAGCAACTGTGATATAAAGCCTTTAGGAGAGAGCTATTGTCAATTTTCTTGACCTCTCAAACTACTTGGAACGACAAAATTTTGTAGACGAGTACCTTTAGCTTTGTGTGTCAAACAGACAATGTACCATTTCTATCAAGAAAGCCTTCATATGGTTTCTTCTAATTTCATTATTTCAAGACTCTTTTCTTTTTGTTCAAATATAGTAATATTTTCATGTTGAGTTCTAGTTCTTTGATCCACGAGTTTATGCCATAAACTAAATTTCTCAATAAATCCTTCTTGCACTTGAAATCCGCTTCAAACTCATTGATCAATAGGCGTCTCTAGTTGTCTGTGAAGGACTTAAATCTTTCATTTTGTGCATAAAACTTCTGCAACCCAGTTTCTCTATTAGACATGATAAAGCGTTGATTCATATCTAGTCGTTTGTCAATCATAAACACTATAGTTTCTTATTTATGACATGTTAAGAATTTCATTTTTGTACAATATTTATCCATCATCAAAACTTTGAATTCAACATAGCTCAAAAAATAATAAAAGTAAAACGGTTAAAGACACAATTATAGACTTCTGCTACAAAATGACATCAATTCATGAACGAAACGTGAAAAATAAAATAAAAATAATGAACACCATGTTTGAATAAAAAAAAAAAATACTTGGAACGTCGTTTAAGGTTGCTTTTAAACGACATATAGTAGTACTTTGACACAAATATTTCCTCTTAAAGAAATACGCAATATTCTTTAAGATGATTTGTCTTACTATACTAATTTTATTAATCAAGTACTGGACAAAATGTTTTTAACTTTGTATTTGAATAAATAATTGTATCAACAATTAAAATTCAAACCTTCTAGATTTTATTATTTATATTAGGGGTACACGATCGAGTTGGTTCGGGTTTTTCAAATATCAAACCAAATTATTTGTGTAAAAGTTTTAAATTTATAAATCAAACCAAACTAATAAAACTCGGGTTTTTTTTTTTGAGTTTTTTAACCTTGGGTTGGTTCGGGATTTTCAAATACCAAACCAAACCATTTGTATCGGATTTTTAAATTTTTAAATCAATCCAAATTAATAAACCTCAGGTTTTTTTAGGTTTTTGGATTTTCCGGTAAAGTAATCATACAGATATATAATTAACTTGTGCTCCAAATATTTATTTATAAGTCCAATCAAAATACAACTATCTAAGGTATTTCTTAAGAAAATAACACAACTATGAGATGGGTGATGACACTAAAATATTCAATAAAAAATAATAATGAAATCGTATAAAATAAATATTACAAATTGATAAGTCATAATGAAAATGATCATAATTTAAAAGTACTAAATCATGCTAAAATAAGTCTAATAAGTATTAATTACATGATTAAACATTACAGAAAAATTAAAATTAGGTTATGTATTTTAAATGTCTAAACCAATGTAAAATTGAAAAATTATTCAACATTATTATCATTCTTAGTGTTGAATTAATTTATTTTGTTAGCATTAGTATTCATTTGACTTTGAATTGAGCTTTATTAGAATTACTAATATCTATGGACTATAACCTTTATTGGATCATGCAAAATTCTAAATCTAAAAAAAAACTTGAAAAAATATGTTAAAAGATAAAAATTATGAAAGCGTATAAGTAATATTTAGAAATTACATCAAAATAAACACTTTTATGTATAATTTAATTTTTTTTTATATATATAATATTGCATTGGTTTGATCTTGGGTTGACTTTTTTTAGTTAAAATCAAACCAACCCAAGTATAGTCATGTTTTTTTTTTCCAATATCAAATCAAGTCAAACCAAACCATTAATTAGATTCTTTTTTCGCTTTAACTCGATTTACGATTCAATTTGATTTTCAATTTAATTTTGTGCCCCTGCTACAGAGTCTTAAGCCAAAAGCAATCTAACTTTGTAAAAGTAAAATCGAGCTTGTATAGTTGTACTTGTATTAAATCAAATTTCAGTCTAGTCTTTAATATTTAGTTATGTGCCTAACTAGTCTATTAGAAAAAATATATATTCATATTAGTAGTAAAGTAGGCACAGCAGTAGTATTTTCAATTCGATGAGCCAAAATGAATTGTAGTTGGAAGCTAGTGTGTATACATTAGTTCCACAATTAGGTACAAGTTAGCTATGGCAGATGTTTTTTTTTCTTCATTTGATATTCGATATCTACATTAGAGTCCGACTAAATTTGAATTTCACTAACAATGACAATTCCGTATTCAAGAAGCTTCGAACCCAAGACCATTGATTAAGAATGAAAAAGTATTTACCATTCCACCACAACCCTTGCTGGTGCAGATACTTCTTTTTCACCATATGCTTATCTTACTCTTACACTATCACATATGTTATTACTCTTCCGTTCTTCTTTCTATGTCACCATTTTAGATTTCACGTTCCTTAAAAAATTAGGTAAGTTTACTATTGCATTATTATTTAGTGTTCTCTTGAAGTCAAGTTTTCAATAAATTAATTAAATTGATCAATTAAATTGACCAATAAACATGAATTAATCATTTAGTTTTCCTATGTTGATCAAATCCATAGATCAATGATTGTTGGTGTAATATACCACAAATAATATAAATTACAATTGAAAATAAAATGAAAAAAATGAATAAGCAAATCTTTAGGTTGAGGTGCTGATATCTCGCTCTCTTTAAGGAGATTCAAGCCCACTGTGTCATAATTTACATCGATCCAGCAATAATACTCTTGACTTGTCCTCTCCAGGATACAATAGCCCAACAACGTGTACAACTCAAATAACTTCGGATTATTGAAGAGTCCAAAGCTCCACATAAGAACACATTCCTTCAACATATAATTATTCTCTTTTGTATAGTGAATATAGTTGAAGACTTAGAATATTTTCTTTGTCTCAACTCTCTCTTTCACTATTGCATACTATAATATTATTTCACACTTCTCATCTTTCTTGACATCCTTCACGAAGGAAGAAATTGTTAGGGTTTTGCCCTGATTTTCTTACCTTATTTGAAATTTATTTTTCTCTTGAAGGAAAATCAAAATATTACCATAAATGCTTTAACTTTTCTTGAAATGAAAATATATCTTTCTTCCATATTTGGTTTATTCTTTCCTTAGAGAAAATTTTTAGAGATCTATGAATTGAAGATCCCTATTCTCATAACAAAACAACAATATCATCCACAATGTAGTCGTTTAGAGACTTTGGTTTATGGGGAGATTTTCTCTCTACAATTTTAATGTTTTTTTATTAGTTTTTAATATGTAGGCCAGTTGGTCAAATTTCATATAATAATATTTTGATTCTTTAGTATAAGTTTTTGTCATCTGATTTATCAATGTCATGATTTGCAATTGTAAGCTTCTGCATGACGCTCTAATCACTTTCGAACCCAACAGAAACACCACTATTTATAGGTGAAGAAGTCTTTCATATAATCAATAGGTAGAATGAGGGTAGGATAGATAAATATGATAGATATTAAATAAGTTACAAGAAACTAATGGTTATATGAGTTATAACAAAATAATGACCACAAGAGTTACAAGAACTAATGGTCATATAAGTTACAAGAATCAATAGTCATCTTCTACCACAATTTATATCCACTAACATATGCATTTAATATTTTATTAATAATAAAATGTATATACACCAATAATAACTTTAAGGGTAAAATAAAAAAATAAAATTATTTATATATTACTTTTATAAAATGATAAATATTAAAAATTATTTATTTTTAATAAGAACGATATATAAATTGGAACGGGAGAGTAATAAAATAAGAAAAAAGAAACTTGTAATCTGACTTCTTCTTGTAATGGTAACAAATTTCCAATAGAAAAAAATTCTGTTGGAGTATGTAGAAACATTAAACTCTGTTGAAATTTTATTATTGATATTCCCAAGGCATGAATGCCTATCACAAAATTAAGGTAATAAATACTCCACACCCCTTATCCTCAATTCACTTATCTTTGATTGAAAATATTACTTCATCTTTGTCTCTTCAACAATATTTTTCTACTATTGACTTTGTACGCTCTTAAGAAATTATAAATAAAAGAATAATTTTACTATTTTATTCTTTAAATATAATAAATACAGTATTTTGAAAAATGTAATAAGAAAATGACTATAATTAATAATAAAGATAAATTAGGAACTAAATGTAAAATTATCTATTGATTTCATAAAATGGACAAATATTGTTAGACATCCCAAAATAGTATAATGGACAACTATAGTTGAGTGGAGGGAGTATTTAAAAAGAAAAAAAAAACAATTTGCTTCTGTTAAATAAAAATAACTTAATAAATTATAAAAAGATAGCCATTAAAATAGGCCGTGGAGTTTAACTATTAATATTCTATGTAATTACTTAATAATAAAAATAATATAAAATAATACTCTCTTAATTTTTTATTTAATTTTTTTGTAGCCTTCATTGCTACGTTCTGCCTATACAAGTATAAAAAAATAATTTATTTTTTCTTTTGTAAGGGGAACAACAATTCTAACTTGAGTACCATAAATTTGAATCCGTTACAAATTTGACTATTGTTGAACGATTGAACTTCTTCACTCATTTGTTTAATAATGTGAAAACAAAATTCTGTTTACTTTTAATCTTATGGAAGTTTCTATCATTTGATATAATTTATTCCAAATCAGAACAAACAAACAAATTACTTATTTTAGGAATTTAATTTCTTTTATTCATAAAAAGTAAAGCAATCACATGTCCAAAGGATTTATGAGCCTCGTTTACAAGTCACTTTAGGCTTATGTTATACTAGCTGTCACATTTTAATTGGCAAGGTTAGTAAAAGTTTTCATTTCAAAATAATTATTATTTTATAAAATTAACTAATTTTGTGTTATTTTGCCTTTAATATTGAACTTTTATTTAGACATGCGATATAAAATTATGATTTCAAATTAGCAGATGTGATTTGGGATCATGATTACAAATCTCATTTTCTCAAAAAAATAAACATGATTTGAGATTTCAAATCATGATTTCAAATGTTTTTAAAATCTAAAACTTGACCATGAATTTATATTTTGAAAAGAAGAAGAAGAAGATTCGTCATTTTAATTTTGAAAAACTCATGCTTAGCGTGAAAATATTGTTAGTAATATGTACATTTTTATTTATATTAAACAAAAACAACTAGTTACTACTATTTAT